ACTGAGGTGTTGGCACTTGCTTTAGACAGTGCTCTGTTTGTGTTCCTCTTGATGCCATTCACCAGTCCATAGTTTTCATCCAGCCCTTGTTTCAGTGCCAGCTTGCCAGTTTGGGCACACTTTCTCTGCTGCAGCCTTTTGTTTCATCCTAAAAAAGCTGTGCCAGGCATCCTTTAGCTCACCCACCACCCTGCTCTCTGAGCTTCACTTGCATATTCTCAAGGCTGTTAATGCAAAACACTTTGTTTTCAAATGCCACTAAAATAGCAGGCAGGTTAATGTGCTCAGCCATTCTAGTACAGTGGGTCTGCTGTAACGAGCAGGATAAATGGGTTTCTGTGTCTTTAATCTCACCCTGAGCATCTTTTTTCACTGCTGCCTACCCAGCTGTTGACCTCCGCCCTGCTGCTGACTTCTGACCTTCTTTATTGTATGTCTTTGCTCAGAGTGAGCCCCTCTCACAACAGATGCTTCTTCATTTCAGGTCGCTGTATTAATACGATCCTGCAGGAGAACAAGACATTCCTCTCTTATGTCATTTCTCACAGCACCAAGGTTTTGTCCTCAACCGTGAAATTCAGAGGCTTTTTCTTGTTGTGAATGTGTTTTACCTTGAGGAAATCACTGGGCCGTGTCTCCTGATAAGGAGATATTTACCCTACTCCAGCATTATATCATATCTGCCTTTCACGGTAGCTGCTTCTACATCTGATTGGACCAGCCAGTATTCCTTTTTCCATTATACTGGGCAAGTGATGCTGATAAACCGAGACTGAATGCAGCTAGGCTTTTTTCGTTCTTACGTCCATGTGTATATTTGCATAGTTTAAATGAAAAGGCTTGACTGAGAGTGAGCTTATTTAAAATGCAACCAGTCATCCTTATTACTTCCTTCTTATACACTGCAGCATGAGGCATTCAGAAAGCCACCCTGAGGTTATTGCAGATGCATCAGATGAGGGCAGAATATTAAAACCTCTGCTTCAGTATCTAAAAGGCATGTCTTACCTCCTGAGAGCCAAAACATAACCTTGGTAATTTAATTGTATGTCAGAACAAGATCACCACTTCTTATGGTTCTACTTCTGCTCATTACTGAGTAATGATGCCAACCGCGGTCACTTTATTAGACACAAACACTGGCCTCCCCTCATTATCACAGACGTTACAACAGCTCTGTGTGAGTGTGATTTTACATATTGGAGCCCTGATTAATGCTGATGTTCATCAGCAGCTTTCTAACTGAACTTTGTCCTGCCGAGGTCTGATCATTTAGGTCATTATGAGTACAGAAATGCATCACATTGGATCCTTTTAATAAATAAATGAAAAATGAGAACAGAAGAAGCCATGTCTAGCTGAACAAACTTGCAATACTTATAATAAAAATACAGGGGTTTCACATGTCTGCAGGAAAAATGTCAGCTAACAGGTAAATTAAGAGAGGTGTTCTTAGATTCATGCTATTCATATTGTTTAGACTGCTAGCACAGGAAACAGACATTCCTAAAAATAAAAATAAGATCCTTTGCAACAAACTGTATTCACATATTGACATTCTTGCTGAGAGTTAGATGAGTACATACATACATCTGCCTTACAGAAGAGCATTGTACGTACACAGAGAGCCAGTGCACAGGAGTCAAATTCCTCGTGTGTCCAACCAATAAAGCTGATTCTGATTTTTAAATATGATGATTTTTGAAGCTCTAACCAGCAGCTGGTTAGCTTAGCATAGCATAAACACTGGGAACGGGGGGAAACAGCTTGCCTGGTTCTGTCCTAAGGTAATTAAATGAGCTCCTTCTTTTTTTAATGCTCAGTAATTAACGTCTTATCTCATTTGTTTTATGTGTCAAATGCCAAGATAACATGGGGTGCATTTACAGATGCTATTGCTGGACTCTTTTTTTTTTTTTTTTTTTTTGGCCAGTAACAGTGACTTCCTGGAGTCTGCCCTGCTTGCCTGGTAGCCAAGACAAAGAAAGGTTTTTTTTTGCATAACACACATTTTTTTAGCCTAGCCTCACTGATATAATAGGAGTAGACAAAATAATACAAACACCTAGCACAATGCAACTCAACGGCATCGGACACTCCATCTTCCAAATGATCACACAGTTGAATCGCCTCTTTGTCCAGTAATTAGTTCTATGCTAAGCTAACTAGCTGCTGGCTGTAGCCTTATATTTAATAGATATCTGCTATATGAGAGTGCTGTTGATCTTCTCATCTAACTCTCTGCAAGATTTCCCAAAATGTTGAATTAATCATTTGGTGGAGCATCATGCATGTTGTTTTTTGTTGATTTTCACCTCAAATCCACGTGGGGAGTATTTTCTGTTTGGTTAAATCCAGTTTGTCGTCTATAAAGTGTGACAAAGCAGAGGCCAGTCACATGCAGAGATGCTCTTATACAAACGATAGCCACCGATTTTTGCTGACTCATCTGAGTATTTGCTCAGGTAGGAGAAATGCTGTCAATTCACCATCACCTTCCTGTTTAATGACTGATGCAGTGAACATGTGGTGTCGATAGATGGAGGTTATTTGTCAAGCTTGTCTTGCTAATCTACCATCTGGTTGATATGCAAGGGTCTAATGAACAGTATGGAGAAGTAACTTTGGGCAGATGGATAAAATAATGTGATCCTCCCAGTGCCCTTTGTTTCACACCTCTCCCTTTGTTCTTTCCTTGCTTGAAACTAGTGGTGTTTTGAATCCTGAGGATTCGTGTTGAAATAACAGACGGGCTAGTGTATAAGAGTCATGCATTGTACTGTACACTGCAGCTCAGTGTGCTCCTCAGGTTGCCTGATGGCTGTACACTTTTTCAAAACATTTCCCCCTCTTCAACCCCACCTACTATTTATTAATGTCATCAGTACAAACACATTGCTTCTGTGCTAGATGTGAATGTTTTCAATATCAGCTGTGAAGACCTTTGTATAAAACAGGATGATTATAATAGCCTAGTCAAAGGATAGGTGGCATAGTGAAGGTACAGTAGTTGCACAGAAGGAAGGCAAACCAAAGCCCTACATTGCTTCTGTGCTAGATGTGAATGTTTTCAATATCAGCTGTGAAGACCTTTGTATAAAACAGGATGATTATAATAGCCTAGTCAAAGGATAGGTGGCATAGTGAAGGTACAGTAGTTGCACAGAAGGAAGGCAAACCAAAGCCCTGAATTCTCTCTCAACAGACAAGAATCCCCCCCCCCGCCACAAAACAACGAAGATCAAATTCCGCTGAAAGCGTAAGACTTCCATATTTATATAAATGTCTCCTGGTCGTTTTGGGGTTTGGGTCTTTTGTCTTCTGGGGTCTTCTTTGTAGAGGTAGATGGGATTCTTTTGGGCTTGATTGAATCGTTTTGGAATGGCATAATCTCAGTGATTAGATATTTATTCTTCTGAGAAAGTCTGGAAGCTTTACTTTACTATTAACTATCCAGTCTGACATTGGCACATTTAAATAGATGCACCATTCTTCAAAATGAGATTTTTCTCTCTGCTTTTTTTTTTTGTTTGTTTTTTACAGACATTTCACTTCTAATTAATACCACATCCCTGCTAAACATCATGTACTGACTGATGATGAGAACCTACCATATGTAAACTTGGGTGTCCTGATGACACTTAATGCCTTATGAGGACAGATAACTGGGACCTTTAGAGCAGCAGACAACACCTGGACTCTGTAGCCAGTAGAAAGGCAATCGCCTGATGAAATATTTACAAAATGGCACAATAAAGATAGCAGTTCACTCCAGTTTATAAATTGTGGCCTTATTCTCAAAGGGAGCTGGAGTGCTAGAGACAGGTGTGACAGCAGCACTGTCAGTCTCCAGATTATCTCCACTACCAGCGTCCATGTATACTCAGCCCTGGACTGGCCGAAGCTACACATTGTCCTATGGCAGGCAGCGACTCACTACTGCTTCAGTGCCTTTATGAAATTCATTTAAAGGAAATAACATTCATTATTCCAGTTGTGTGTGTCCACATGTGCACATGTGTATGACATATGGATATTAGTGGCCATGCCTGGAGACAGTGTCATAGTTCAGTTGTGCATTGCGGTCACTACAGTAGTCAGCTATTTAAAAGCTGTTTTCTTGTATGTGCATGGGTTCTGGTTGTGTAGTTGCATATCACCCACTGCAGTGGACATCAGGGGCTCATCCCACACTCTGCCACCCACTGGTCGGCCATTGTTAAGTGCAACAATAATTTTTTAAACCAAGATGGCTGACAAAAAGCTACAAAGGCTGAGCATTTTAGGATTATCTTGTCCTTACCCTTGGAGTTAAAAAAAAAAA